GATGGGGGTACAGATACTCAGGTAGACGCTTTACTCAAACCATCTCAGGTGGACTTCCCAACAGCCCTGTGAGGTTACAAGGGCAGGAAACTGCGAACAAGTCCACACAGATGCGAAGTGCCAGAGGCAGGGTTTGAACCCCAATCTGTCCAACCACTCTAATTCTATAATGGAACTTGTCCTTAAGAAAACCCTTTTCATCCACCAGATGCTCTGCCGGGGAAGGAGGGGCAATCTCCTCCTGTACCAGTCAGATCTGATTTGACGGTACACGCACACAAAAATAATAAAATAAAATTTTAAAAAAATAAAAAAATGTTCTTCTTTAAAAAATATATTTAAAAAAAATGAAAACCCTTTTCATTCATGAGCTGAATATTCTAACTCTCTGGAAGCTGGATGTATGGTCTAAGGACTTAAGAGGGGAGGATGAAAGGCAGAGAAATGAACGAGTCTACAGCTAGTCCCAAGATCAAGTCCGAAGTCTGTGATGCTCTAAATATGTGAGAGGAGGTATTCCTTCCACACAATCAAGCCTGGAGTCAACACTCCAAGTGTCAGTGGACCAAACAGCATCCTGGACCTCCTCCTCTCCTCCCGCCCACAGTGATCTCTTTCCATTGTTCATTACAAACTCATCCACATGGGTGGCACCGGATGAATGCCCCAGACCATCAGACAGTCCTCAAGTATCACCACGCACTGTCCCCTAACTCTAGCACATGCCTGGGCCTGATCCTCCTGGAAAAATGCCATTTGAGTTTGAGGAGGAGGGTCCCAGCTTGTGTTCAAATCTTCCTTTGAAGGCAAAATGACCTGAGTTCAAATCCCAGCCCAGCCTCACACTAACTGGCGGGCCCTGAGCAAGCTGGCCTACTTCCCCAAGACTCGGCTTGTCCCTGTGTGTAAGGAGATCACAGACCCTCCACCGCAGAACTGAGGGCATCCAGTGACACAATGCCTGTGAAGCAAGGTCGGCGCCAGCCCTGCTGCACGGCTGTAACTACTACTACGGCCAGTCTCTGCGGTCCGCGAAGTCTCCTGTGCAGGATCAGAACATTCATGGCTGGTATTTATCTGAAATAAACAACCGGGAAAGGAAACGACTGTGAAAGCACAATGCCTTCCAAATGCAAACAGAAATAATTTCTTGTTTGTTTTAGATAAACCAGCCCTTCTCTACCACCAGATGACCTGACATACACCTGCAAATGCATGTGGGTACACAGAGTTCTAAGGAGGCCTGAAGATGAGTGAGAGCTGCCCAATGGTTTACAGCAAACACCAGTTTAAAGAGGAGTGGTGTGAGGCCAAAGCCAGCTGACCTAAGGTCTCCCTGGGGGCAGCTCATAAAAACAAGGAGGAGTCCAGGGAGCCTGACCTCAGCAACAGCTGTCCCCTCAACCCCACCCCAAGAAGGGGCTTAGCAACGAGGAAGGAGGCCAGGGGCTGACAGATAGAGGTCACTTGCCTGCCTTTTCCTAAACAGACCAAGAGCACAAGACCCTTTGTGACTGCACAGCTCTTTGTCATCCTGGGGACGAGCAGACCCTTTGCATGGTGTCCTGAGAGAACCTTTGCAGCATGTTCCCAGAGCTCTGAAGCCAGCAGAGTCCCTCCTGCTCGGGCCCCAGGCCTCTCATCAGCTTGCTCTGGCTAACACACACACATCCCACAAAATCTCTCTGCCCTGCAATTTACCCAACCACACTCAGAACTCGCCATCAGCAGAGGAGAGGCCAGAAAGAGGCCTGAGTCTCTAAGTGGAGGGGGCTTGTAGAACACCCCTGACTGGGTCAGTATGTCCTGCCAGCTGACCACGCTGCAGAGCCTTACCCAGAAGGCTTCACCCTCTGCTTTGTAGTGTCTACCGAGCAAGGAGAGGAGAGCTTAAGGCTAAGTGCCACACCTCACCAACTGGCTCCTCTTGGCCTTGTTGGCCTTGCTGGACCCTATTACTTAGTGCTATGCCCCTATATTATGCAAGGAGCTCTGGTGGCTGAGTGGGTAAGGAGTTGCACTGCCAACTCAAAGGCAGGTGGTTCAAATCCACTAGCTGCTCCATGGAAGAAAGATGGGCAATGTCCTCCCATGTGATTTTATAGTCTCTGAAAACCCGCTGGAGGGTCAGCTATGAGTTGGTTCCAACTCGAGGGCACACAATAACAACAGTAACTGCAACCACCTTATGTACTAATGACCCAAGCATCTAGGTCCCCTGCTACCACCAGATGTTCACCTGGCAAGTCAACCCTTGCCAGGTCTTGGGGTGCACCCAATGAGCAAAATTCACACTCTAGGGAAGGAACAGTTAAACCAGGTGCAAGGATGATCTGTGTGGCAATTTACTTTACCCAATCTGGTTCTGTTTCCTTAGCTGTAAAACAAGAAGGTTGAGCCAGGGGAGTCTTTGGGCCCCTACAAGCTCTATGATTCCACAACTTAGAACACTTTCTCCTTTGTTTTCTAGAACCATTGCTCAGAGCTCTAGATGGTCCCATCTGTTTGGTGACATCACTCTCTGCCCAAACATAGTGTCATTGATTCAGCCATAGGAAGTGGAGATGTCCCGGGAAGGACTGTATCCATAAAAAGGGAGGAAATTATCATTTCAAGGGGAATGGATAAGACTCTTTTTCTATTTTCCACACAGAACAAGTTATTATCCGTCTTAAAAGCCATGATCTTTCTTCTTCTTCTTTTTTTTTTTTTTTGCCAGACTGTCAATAGTTGCTTTTGAAAAGTATTTTCATGGTCACAATTTCATGAATATTAATTCATTATGCTGCTCCTTGGAGACAAGGATTCTGAATCTCTGTCTAACTAACATACTTTGGATATGTTGCAAGGAGGGCTCAGTCCTTGGAGTGGCACATCATGCTTGGGAGGTTAGAGGGACAGAGCAAGAGAGGAAGACCTGGGATGAGATGGATTGACTCAGTGACTGGGGTAATGGGGGGAGGTGTGTCAGAGACAATAATGTTGGCACAGGATAGAGCAAGGTTTAGGTCTGTAGTACCTAAAGTCTCTACGAGTCACAGGCAACTTGATGGCACATAACAACAACGACAATTCAATGAATGTTTACTCTGTGCCAGGAAATAGACTATGTATTTTATAGCAATCATTCATTTAATTCTCTGGACAGCACAGCGAATCAGGTACCATTATTCTCCTTACTTTAAAAATGAGGAAAGGGAGACCCAGGGAGGTTAAGCAACTTGCCTGAGATCACCCAGCCACCAACTAACAGAGTAGCTCTGAACAAGATTCTCTAACTTCCGAGTTACAGCTCTTTCCCCTTCTGTCAATATTGCCCGGCAGAGTTCCTGGTCACCTTGGCAACACTGATGGCTTGCTGCCAGCCTCTCCTGCATCAGTAATCTTGGACATCACTGGTCAGGGTTCAAATTTGATGTTTCACCTACAATTCACAGCTGGTGAGGCACCTGCCTGGGTGGGTGGGTCTCAGAGCAAAGAGTGCCATCTGTTGAAAGTAGGGCCAACCTTACTAACTTAACCAAGGATTGGAACAGAGACATTTAGCCTGCAACATCTGAGAAATGAAGTCAGGAAAACAAACTCCGCCAGTCGGACAGTGTAGAAATGGACATCTCTCCCCAGAACAGTACCAACTAGTTGCCCCAGCTCTACAAAGGAAGTTTTCTTGAAACGGCAGTGGGGGACATTTGCCCAATCAGGCAGCACAAAAGAACTTTCTGACCATGCCAAGGTACATACCCCACGGGCATCTAGCTCCCTGCTCAGTGATGGGACTAGTTTCCAAGTTTACCTTCTCTTCAACTTCAGTCCAGTCCCATTGGCTCACGGGTAAAGAAATAAAAAATTCAGGGCTCTGGGTGATAAAGGTAGAAAGGGCAGCCTGGGGCAGAGATTAGTGCGGACCGCCCCCTTCCAACAGGAAAATGAAAGGCACTCCGGAGACCCGTGTGCAATAGAGGGGAGCAGCCGACAGCCTGTTCTAATTGTTAAAATTAATGCTTTGGGCAGTTCTAAATCCTCCCCTTTAAAATGCCTAATTTGCAAATAAGATGCAGCCGAGCTGTCCCAAAGTCATCTGTGTTCTGACAGATGCCCAGCCGAATGTCTGTTTCTTTTTTCTCAAGTACAAGAGCAAAGATGCTCACACAGGCGTCCCCTGGGCGTCAAGAACACCGTGTTTCTTTCCTAAGGCGCGAAGCATGTGAAGACAGGGCCGCTGAGATGAGAGGGGGTCCCACAGACCCCGGACCTGGGCCCAGTCAACCTGAGACCCTTCTCATTAAGTTCGCCCAGAGGAAGGGGGAGGGGCGGCGGGCGGTCCTCAGAGACTACAGCAAACATTGGCCTCCCCGCTTGTCTGGGGCTGGGGCATCACTTAAGAGGAAATGAACCCGGCTAAGGGTCACGTCCAGAGGAGGGATAAAAGGAAAAGCCACAGCGCTCCTCACGCCGACGGACACAATGACTTTAAGGAGGAAATCACAGCTCGGGGCTGCGGGTGGAGGTGGGGCAGGGGGTGCAGCCACTTCCTTCTGCCCCGAGACAAGGGCCTTGGAAGGCAGGGACAGGGGCGAGAGTAGGGGGCAGCGCGAGGCTTGCCCAGCGCCGGCCTCTGAGAGCAGCAGGGTCTGTGTGAGCCCCAGCGACCGGAGCCCCGAGGGAGGCCGAGGAAGGTGCTTCCTCCCACCGAGGTTCTCAGGGACCAGTGCGGGGCCCTCTGGAGGGAGGGGGGGTGTCCTCGTCCATCAAAGTTCAGGCGGACAGATGACTTCACCGGTGTAACGGACAAGGGCAGCCACTTGCCAATTCCAATGCCAAAAAAAGAAAGCAGGGAGGGCGAGTGGAGGAAGGACAGACAAGGCTCCCCGGAGATCACAGTGCCCTGCGGGGTGACCGCACAGACGCCGCTGCCCTGTGGGCGCTCGGGAGCCAGGGGCCACCCCTTCCTGGGGGTCGCAGCCAGCCCTCAGCAGGGGGTGCGGCGGGGCACAACTCACATAGTGCTTGGAGGGGTTCCTCCGCTTCTCCACGTCCACCACCGTGGCGTCTTGCACGCAGTAGGCGAGCATCTTCCCCCACAAAGCGAGCGGTGCCCCCCGGCGGCGTCACCTTCTCATCCCGTGCAGGTCCGACTCCTCCGCGCCCCGACTCCCCCCCGCCGCTGCCCGGGCTCCCCGCGCCCGCAGGTACAGCCCCGGCGCGGG